TTTTGATTTATATAAAACATATAATAATTTTTATTTTATTATACGTACCGTTGCTTTCAATTAATAAAATAACAGTTTTATTKATTAAAATTGTAAAAAACAGGTGAACTATATATATATTMAATTATTATGTCAWTCAACAAAATTCAATGTCAATTAGTAATAAAAAATAAATAAAAATATAATAAAAGTTACATTTGGATTGACATAAATGATTATTTAATAAGAAAAAATTATATTACAATAGTTTACAATATGATTACAAAAAAAAATTTGTTAAAAAAATGTTTATTTCATATATATTATGATAATAAATGGTTATTAATTAACAATAAAATTAACACAAAAAATAAATATATAAAATAATTTATACTATATTTTGTGCATCTAATTCAATAAATTTTTTTTGAATATATTAGTAAATTACATAATAAATATATTTTTTATATATACAATAGATTTGATTATATTATTGTTAAAAATGTCGGTTTATTTGTAATAAAGTTATGCAAAACAGGTGAAACATATATACAAATATCATGTATTACTGTAAATGTCAATCGCAATCAAAATTATGTTATTAATAAAAAAAATATAAATAATTTCATAATAAAAGTTAAATTTTAAATTGATATACTATATACAAACAATTAAATAATTAAAATTTATGTTATTATAATACTATTTAATATACAGTATTTATATATTAATTTTTTTAAAATAAGATAAAACATGTTTTTTAAATATTTTTTTTAAATAATTTTTTTTATTATGTCAACTTATTATCCAAAAAAATGATTTTATAGTTTTTACTTATTATATGTAATATTATTTTTTGATTTTTTGGTACAAAAAAATGTTAAACTAAACATCAATTATGATTGGATTAATAAATAAGATAAACTAATATATATATATATTAACATTTAATTATTAAAAATAATTTTATTGATAAAATAATTACAGAATATTTAGTGTTTATTTTTTTTATTTTAATGTACTGTATGAAAATATATAGGCATATAATTAGCTAAAAAAATTTTTATAATAATTTTATATAATATAATAATTGAATTAACCTTTTTCATATCCTGGTTAGATATTTATATCTGATATAAATTGTGTGTTATATTATATTCAGTATTATTGTATAATATTGTTTAAATCCAAATAAAATTTATATTACTTAATAAATTACTTTTTAAAAAATCCAATCTATATTAATAGCAATAAATATTATGCAAAAAATTAATTTATTTACTATTTAATAATTAGTTTGTTTAGTCAAATTTAATTTTAAATATATTATAAACCAAATGTTATAGAAATTATAAAAAAAACAATAATTTTATTTTAAATAATTATAAGTACTGTTGCTTACAATTAATAAAATATCGGTTTTGTATTAATAATTTTACAAAAAAGGTTATATATATATATTATTATAAATAAATCAATAGTGATTTAGATTCAACAAAATTCAATGTCAATTATTAATAATAGGTAATTAAAAACAAAAATATATAATATTTTTTTTTAAATAATAAAAGTTACATTTTGATTGACATAAATGATTATAACATAAATATTACAATAGTTACATATGATTACAAAAATGTTTATTTCATATACATTATGAAACTATTAATGGCTATTAATTAGTGATAAAATTAACAAAAAATAAAATAAAATAATTTGTACCTGTATTTTGTGCATCTAATTCAATAAAATTTTTAAATATATTACTAAATTACATAATATTGTAAATATTTTTTTATATATACAATAGATTTGATTATATTATTGTTAAAAATGTCGGTTTATTTGTAATAAAGTTATGCAAAACAGGTGAAACATATATACAAATATCATGTATTAAATGTCAATCGCAATCAAAATTATGTTATTAATAAAAAAAATATTAAAAAAATATAAATTATTTTATAATAAAAGTTAAATTTTAAAATGATATAAAGGATTATTTACTAAAAGAAAAAAAAATAATATTACAATAGTTATAATGATTGCAATAATTTTATGTTAATATCATATACATTATGAATTGATATTAATTAACAAAAAAAATTTAGAAAAAAATAAAAATATAGTTTATTTTGTACATCTAATTCAATAAAATTTTATTTTATCAAAAAAATATTATTTACTATTAAAAAAAATTGTTGAATGTATTAATAAATTGAATAAAAAATATTTTGTATTATTATCATTAAATAATTATTTTTTATTCATACATAATACTAGTTTTTTCAGATAAATGATTTAATTTTTATTCAATATATATAATATTTGTTTATAATTTAATTAATTAAATTTTAACTAAATTTGATTTATACTAATAATAATATACTGTATATTAATTGGTTACCAATTATTAATAATAGTTGTAATGAGTTTAATAAAAATGTCAGAAATTAATAATAATAATAATAATGACAATAATGATGTTAATGATGAAAATAATAATAATAATATTGATGTTAATATTGATTTTAATGATAATAATAATAATAATAATATTGATGTTAATATTGATTTTAATGATAATAATAATAATAATAATATTGATGTTAATATTGATTTTAATGATAATAATAATAATAATAATAATGTTAATATTGATGTTAATAATGATGAAAATAATAATAATAATAATAAATCAAAAAATCCGTTTAATATAATTAAAAGAAAGTGGTTATCAATGGGAGTAAAACAAAAGTGCCAAATGATTCTAAAGATTATAATATTTTTAATCTGCGGAACACTATTTGCATACCATTCCACCCAATTATATGGACAATACATGAGTAGGAAAACCATCTCAACATCAAATATCTTCGTCTAAAAAACGAATCCCTACCGGCCTTTACCGTATGTTTTCCAATCGTTTTACGTATGGACTCAATGGCCGTAMAATTTCCAGAGTTAAGTAATAMTTWTACMGAATATAAAAATCTGATTGACACTCTWAATGATAGCCAATATGATRATCAAACARWAAAARTCAAATTACATKATWTGTATTATSAKTTTGTTAAATATTATAAYGACAAACGTTTCCCWTTAAACGATTTRTACAATAGYAACCTAACCGTKCCATATATGAACGATTTAATTAATAATAATAATAATAATAAAACAATTAGACGTAACTATATATCGGCATTTATTTCAGAATATARTAATAYAAAYTTAACATWCATAGAGATTTACAGCCAATTGTTTCTATAATAAATAATTTTAGTCCCGGAAAATGTCTRACATTTTTTAGTRAACTWAATCCCAWGTTTCGTCGAATACAAAACAAATTTAGACTCAATAWATATTAAWATCGTTCACAATAATGATTGGTTCCTAATATCATTGTATGACAYCAATCCGTTAAGTTTTATAATACATTCAYCGAATAAYACACCRTACGATATAYTGACCGAAAATTTATTTAAACTATATATGGATAGTGAKTATTGGWTAGAWTATTCAACGATTAAGACAATAMGTTTGCCGCCTACATGGGATACCAATTGTMGTGAATAYGWTGTTTACAATAGCACCGGTAGWAACTYAATGACKCCCCGWACYCGATCCGATTATCGATATCAATGTTTTCAACAACGTATGTCKAMTACTAAWAATCGATGTTRTYTTGRCAAWACAAACCGGACWARGTGTAATAACTGTATTCCATRSAGTAATCAAATGATACCGAATTATCTGTCGTCGACAACAACAATGTCGTGTAACAGTAATACAGATTATGTAAACTGTGAACTACCCTTTCGTTATGATTGCGATGATCAGTTTGCCGACCATTGTTATGATAGACAATATTTTTTGACTTTAGTTGACAAACACCAGATTAYRCMTAAAAGATCCAATCGATGGTCTAATTCTAKARTTMASGTTTATATCCGACATTCGGCTWATTCSGATCAATTAGTMGAACAYASMCCYCAAATGTCCCGAATTGAATTCCTATGTAATTTAGGYGGTYTGATGGGCATWTGGYTKGGATTAGCTGTTTTTACTTTACTGAATTTATTTGTAAAATTATGTAAACTATGTAAACTATTTTATTAAACTAGTATTTAATTGAATTTAATTGAATTATATAACTTTAAGCTAATTATTAACAATAAGATTAAATATAATTATAATTTATATTTTGAAAATAATTGTATCTAATGTATGAACAAAACAAAAAATTATTTTTTGTTGAAATAATTTAAAATAAATTTATCAAAACATTTTGCAATATAAATATATATTTTCCCATTTTATTGATGTACAGTATTTTATTTATAATAATAATAATATAAATAATAATTATTTTTTATGTAATAGTTTTCTATAATAAACAAAAAAAAAGTTTATTAAATATATATATATATATTTGTCGGTCAGTATCGGGTGGTGTGGACAACACCAACCAACCAATCAGTCAATCAATTGACAACAAAAAATGCAAACACAAGGCCTACGCCGCGGATCGGTACTCGACTACGAACAGTCCCAGATATTTGGCCAGTATCGGGAAAAGTTGGCCACATTTGCGGCCATACAGTCGCAAAAGTCAAACAGATTGCGCGAAGAACGGCAGAAAACTGGCGGCGACCTAACCAAACACTATCGGGTCAGACATAAGTTAAGACTGTCCCAGACTCTCATTAACCGTGGCCTATGGATACTACAGTTGAGCGGCGATTAGATACTATTGGCCGTAGTGGCCATTATTGTGGCCTCATTGAGCTTTTTCATGGATAATGTTATACACGCCTGTTTTGATTGTCAGTACTCTGTATATATATATATAAATGATTTACCGATAATTCATATATTAAATAATTGTTTTGCTTATATACCACACACCCACACCCACTACTGGGATATACCTAACTTACGGCTTATCAGTACGCAAATGGCTGATCAAAAATATTAGCGACCTATTCATCAATCAGTACCTGATTTGGATAACTTTACTAATGGTTTTGGCAATGATATCGAAACTACTGGTCCGTTATGTGTCCCCACAGGCGGCCGGCAGCGGTGTCGGCGAAATGAAGGTCCAATTTTTATTAGTTATGATTTTAATTTATGTTAACTTTTTTTACAAAAATTATTGATTTATTTATAGAATTATTACAGTAATTAGTAATTAATTTTATTAATTAATAATAATTTTATTTATTTATTTATTTTGTTGGTTGAAATAGTCGGCGGTGTCTTATACAGCATAGAGATAGTGTCGTTATTTTTTTCGGTCCGATCCTATTGAATGGGATTTTTGCTGCAACCATAGGTGCCCTATTCTTGCGCCTACTGATCGTTTGGTTTCAATTTGAGGACAACAATACCCATATATTTAAGACAAACTTTCGTAGGGATCATCCATATGAAACCCTCGAACTCCTGTCGTTTGCACTTTTGGGTGTCCTATCGGGTATCAGTGGCTACCTGTTTGCAACCTTACAGCGCTCGATCGTACTGTTCAATAGGAAACGTAGCCGATTTCATGCCCTATTGCAAAACTATCCGCTGGTCTATCCCGTACTGGTTATACTAATTCTAGGCCTACTATCATTTACGCCCGGTTTTGGCCAATATTTCGGGTCATGGATGATGTCGGCCGAACAGACAATGCACGAACTGTTCAACAATGAAACCTGGGGTCTGATTGCCAACCAGATAGATACCGATCCCATTATCGATAACTGGCGTACACCGTCTACATCCATATACAGTATGTCAATACATTTCTGTTTTTGTTATGAATATGCTATTGATAGCCCTGTGCTCGACACTGCCAGTACCTGCCGGCCTAATAGTTCCCAGTTTTAAGATCGGTGCCGGACTTGGAAGGTATGGATTGTTTTGTTTGTTTTTTTAATAGTACCGGTAATGACATGTTTTGCATATATATATATATATTTACAGATTTTATGGCGAATGGATGGCCTATCTGTTCCCTAATGGTATGAATCCCTACAACAATAGGACTGATATAACCATAATTCCGGGCGCCTATGCTGTGGCCGGTTCAGCAGCTTTTGCCGGCGCTAATACCGGTAAATATATATATATGAATACTAAATAATTAATATCCTATTTACCGATAATTTATATCTATGTGTAGGTGTCATATCATCGGCGGTAATCATATTCGAGGTAACTGGCCAGATGACCCATTTGCTACCCGTGCTGGTAGCCGTAATCGTTGCCAAACTGGTAGCCCAGCGACTGGGGCCGTCCATCTACGACAGTATGATTAAGCTGAAAAAACTATTATATTTGCTTAAATTAGTTTAAATAATAATAATCATAATAAGAGGCCATCGCCTACCTGTCCAGTACATGGTACTATTTTATTTACAGTCAAATTACAAAACTATAAACAAAATTAACTTCAAAAATCTAAATAAATATATTGTTTACTTGTATTATATATTTAAATTTTAAATAAATTAATTTTATTACATTAAATTACAGATGAATATGTATTTACTATTGATTGAATAAATATAAATAATTAATTATTACTAAGTTTTGTTTAAAAAAATATTAACAATATTTAGTAAAAAGAGGTTTTTATTTAATAAATTTAAAATCTATAGTTAAACTAAATATTGGATTGTATTCACTAATATAATTTCATAATAAATATAATCTAATCGATACGATATATGTTTTTTTTACATTTTGTTTAGTATTATTTACTTAATTTAATTAAAATATCAAAAAATAATTTTTTAAAAAAATGTTTTTTCCTAATTATTAATAAATAAAAAACATTATTCAAAAAAAAATTATTTTAAAAACCAGTTAAGAATACTAGAAAGCATTATCAGAAAAAAAACTATTTACGATATAAACTATTTTGTTGGCAAATTAATTGTCAGTTGATAATAGTCATATAATCAAAAGACGTGCTATGACAAAATTCTAAACTAAACTTTAGTTATGTAGGGTATAAAAATATGACAAATTTTACTCAACTATACATACACACATACATATACAAACAGACACACATACAAACAAACACATAGAAACACATTCACATACAATCACACGCACATACATACACATACACATAAAATCGTACATGCTTACTATCTATGTACAATACACTATGTAATTGAATAGTAAATTGACTGAATTTTAATTTGTAAAAATTTATTAATTATTAAAATTTTATTGAAAAAAATAATAAAAACAATGATAGTCTTATAAATAATAAATTAATGGTTTACATTCTATTTTATTTAGATTTATTCGAATTATTATTCATCGTGACACGATACAATAGGTTCATCAATTTTATGATTTCTTTTACATATTTGTCCTGATTTACAGCAATAAAGTTGGTGGCAGGCTATCTCGTCATCTGCACAATCTAATTAAATATGAACAAAATTAAACATTAATAATATTTTTAGAAAAAATATATAATTACCATGACACTCTGATATCATTTGGTTATCTTCATTACGTTCTTGTTTACAAATTGTTTTTTCAAGATAAAGACAATGAATATTACCGCAATTATAATATGCAGCATTTGGATCGTCTAAATAATAATAATACTAATAATACTAATAATTATTAATTAGTTGACAGCATTAGCACTATCTTATAATTATTTTTAAACCAGATTTTTTAAGCATTAATTGCAACTATTTTTATGAGTATAATTATAATTATAGTTAGGTAACTTGGGAAATTCCGGAAACATTATTTTTTTAAATTTAACGTTTATTGTTTTTTCCGGATAAATCCATGAAAAACACCGAAATTTATTTAAGTGTGTTTTTCCCCGAAATTTGCTAAATATTGATTGACATAACACTTACTAACATATAATACATATTGAATACAATATTATCGGCACATCTAATAAAATATTAACTCATTATCAATGATTGTAACGATATATGTACAATTAAATAACTAGTTTAGTCATTATAAGTAAATAAAATTAAAATATTATTTTTTTTATAAATTATTTTATAATAATATTAATAATTAGTTTAAAAGATATACCTTCATACAAGTGAACACCAACCATAGTTAGCAATACAAACAATAAGAGTAATTTTACTAACATTTTAAATAAATTTTTTATTATTTTTTGCTAATGTATATTTTAGTTATTAAGTTATCTTATTGAATAATCAATTTAAAATTAAATTATTTATATTCAAAAATATAAGTTTATTTAAGAGTACAATATTAATGCTGTTGTATTAAATAACATTTACGTCAAAATAGACTAAATATATCACATAATACTGTAATAATAACAGATTTTTAAGTTGTTTTTATAATATTGACGTAAAATATTTGATATTTTAACAAACATACACATACATACACATACATACACATACATACACATACATACACATACATACACATACATACACATACATACACATACATACACATACATACACATACATACACATACATACACATACATACACATACATACACATACATACACATACATACACATACATACACATACATACACATACATACACATACATACACATACATACACATACATACACATACATACACATACATACACATACATACACATACATACACATACATACACATACATACACATACATACACATACATACACATACATACACATACATACACATACATACACATACATACACATACATACACATACATACACATACATACACATACATACACATACATACACATACATACACATACATACACATACATACACATACATACACATACATACACATACATACACATACAACACATACAACACATACATACACATACATACAAACACATACATACAAACACACACACATACAAACACACACACATACAAACACACACACATATACAAACACATACATACATACACATACATACACATACATACACATACAACACATACTACACATACATACACATACATACACATACATACACATACATACACATACATACACATACATACACATACATACACATACATACACATACATACACATACATACACATACATACACATACATACACATACATACACATACATACACATACATACACATACATACACATACATACACATACAACACATACAACACATACATACACATACATACACATACATACACATACATACACATACATACACATACATACACATACATACACATACATACACATACATACACATACATACACATAAATACACATACAACACATACATACACATACATACACATACATACACATACATACACATACATACACATACATACACATACATACACATACATACACATACATACACATACATACATTATTTAATACTGTAGTACATTATTAATGCTTTAGTATTAAATTACATTTATGTTTAAAATAGTCAAAATATATTACATAATACTGTAATAATAACCGATTTTTAAGTTGTTTTTTATAATAATGTAGCGGAATAATAATAGATCACTTAAAACAATAGTAAATGTACTCAAATTATATATTTAATTACTCATATGTATTGCATAGTTATATGTTTTGACTGCAGTGTATAATGTGTTAAATACATAGTAATATATGAGATTTTGTATTCCCATTGAAATAACATTAACGGCATATTTAGTATTAGAATACATGGGTTTAGTATACCCATAGAAAATACATAAGCGGCACATTCACTATTATAATTATGGGTTTAATATTGCCATAGAAATAACATTAGCTATACTTTAACATACAAACATATAGGTTTAGTTTGAGACACATATAGTGTCAGTAAATGTAGTGACGCACTTGCGTTTCAGTGAATACTATTTAACCATTGGTTTAAATATTTTATATATAAGGGTTGACAAGGGTTTTTGTTTCCTATACTTTAACATTAATGAATTAATTAATTTCTAAGCACACTTGTGTATTGTATTTTAATGCAAATGAGAATTTGCCTTTAGGTGGTAGTGTGCGACCGACTAAAAACAGGCAGAGTTTAGCTAAGCCAATAGAGTACAAGTAGTAGTATACGTAAAAGTTGTCATCAAATATGAATACAGAGTTTAACAGTTTGCGCGCGCAATAGACAGTGGCTTATGCAGCGATCAGACTGCTGAGCTCTCAGTCGAGCGAAATGCTCGACGCAAGTTGTCTTACTCCTGAACTGGTCGGTTACCGTCACTTGACTCTCCGATACACTAGTATAGTGTATTACATTGTATTAGTTATATTTTATAAGTGTTAAATAAATCTCGGTTTTGGTATAAGTCCCGAGTAAGTCATTTGGGCCTTTGGCCCGTACTTTCTCTCTTCTCTCTTTATCTCTCTCTCTTACTTTCTCTCTTCATTTCATCTCTGGGCTCCCTTGCCGTGTCAGTCGTGTGTCCCTTTTCCCGTGTCCATCACCACCACATCTGCTCAACACTTTGGCCATCACAGCATCGCTCAGCTCACTGGCAGATACAGCACTGTTCAGCTCACTGGCCGATACAGCACCGCTCATCACTTTTGGCTCATCAAAGCCGTCACAGCTCAACGCCAGATCCATACCGTGGTCGCAGATGTTATCACTACTATAGTGGTGGTGCCGACTCAACGCTAGGACCGACAACTCATTGGTACCGTAACGTCGAGAACAGCACCGATCACCGTAACCAACCCATCCAACCATTTCAATATTGACGTTAAAAAAAATTTTAAAAAAATTTAACAAACATACACATACTGTATACACATATACAAACACACAAACATACACATACATATCATATACAGGGGTGTTAAAAAGTCACAAGAAAACGGTTTTCGTTATATAAAAACTATAATAAATAAAAATATAAAATATAATATACTTGAAATTAGAGATGTTAGCATTTAGTTTAAACATTTTAGTAAAATTATATGTAGAGTCGTTTAAAAATAATCATGTCTGTAAAAAACTGAATAAATTTGCATCTACTTATGATATTTGATCAAATGTTTCAAAATAGCAAAAGTTTAATAAGCTGTAATAAAATAACTTACAAACGTTCAAATTGATTCAATTAATTAAAAATTATATAATTTTCATCAATTATAGCAAATAATAATTTAATTTTTAAATTTTTAAACTAATAATTTTAAAATTTATAAAACGTTAAAAATGGTAAAACTTAAAATACAAAAAATGCAATTTTCAGGGAAATTCTTTGACATTTTTAAGTGATATTTTTTTCTAAGATAATAAATAATAAACTGTCTGAAGGTAAAATTTTTTATCTTATTATATCTAATATTTATATGTTATATTTAAGTTTATTTTGCTGTATTAAAATTGCAAATAAAAAAATAATTAAATATTTTTCTAAAATGCAGAATTAATTTTTACGTTTATTTTAATTTGATGACTTAAAATATTTTAAATGTTTAGTAATTTCTTTAATAAATAAACAAATAATTTCTTAAAATTATAAGAAAATATTTAATTTATATTTTAAGT